GGGGGGGGGGGCACTGAGGACACGCGACACCGGAGATGTCTCCCATTGTCCCCGGTGTTTCCCGGTGCCCGCGGGGCGGGCGCTCGGAGCCGGATCCCCCCCGCCCCTCCCGGATCGCGGCCGGTCCCTCCCCGGTCCCTCCCCGGTCCCTCCCCGGTAGTGCGTCCCGCCCCCCCCCCCCCCCCCCCCCGCCGGGGCAGCGCCGCCCCCGCCGCCGCCGGGGCCCCGTGGCCGGTTCCCGGTGCCCCGGGATGGCCACGTCGGTGCTGGCCGGGCTCTGCCTCGCCGCCACCCTCGCCATGTTCGCCACCGGCCTGTGAGCGAGCGGCGGCGGCACCGGGAGGGGAGCGGGGACGGGGGCACCGGGAGCGGTTTGGGGAGGCAGGGAGGACAGCAGGGCCAGTTTGGGGTGTAATGGGGGCCCATGGGGGGGTTGGGGGTGCAATGGGGGCCCATGGGGGGGGTTGGGGTGCAGTGAGGCCCATGGGGGGGTGGGGTTGCAATGAGGACACCAGGGCGAGTTTTAGGGTGTAATGGGGTCCATGGGGGCGGGTTGGGGGTGCAGTGGGGGCCCATGGAGGGGTTGGGGGTGCAGTGGGGACCATGGGGGGTTTGGGGGTGCAGTGGGGACCATGAGGGCGTTGGGGTTGCAATGAGGACACCAGGGCGAGTTTTGGGGTGTAATGGGGGACCATGGGGAGTTTGGGGGTTGCAGTGAGGACACCAGGGTTAATTTGGGGTGCAGTGGGGACTGTGGTGGGGGGTGGGGGCTCCATGGAGGGATTGGGGGTGCAATGAGGACACCAGGGCCGGTTTTGGGGTGCAGTGGAAGCCATGGGGGGATTTGAGGGGGGCCTGGAGGGTGGGAGTACAATGAGGACACCAGGACTAGTTTTGTAGTGTAATAGGGGTCCTGGGGGAGGGTTTGGGCTGCAACAGGGAGGGCATCAAAGGCATTTTGGGGTCTGCAGTGGAGGCCATGGGGGAGCATTTGGGGGTGCAATAGAAAGGGCACCAGGGCAAATTTGAGAGGCGTGCAATGAGGGCCAGGAGAGGGTTGGGGGTGCAATAGGGAAGGCTCCAGGGCCGTTTGGGGGTGCAATGGGGGCAGCACCACAGTCAGTTTGTGGGGTGCAGTGGAGGCTGTGAGGGGGTCCAATGGGGAGGGCACCAGGGGCAGTTTGTGGGGTGCAGTGAGGGACATGGAAGGGTGCAATGGGGAGGGCACCAGGGCTGGTTTGGGGGTGCAGTGGGAGCACCACCAGAGTCAGTTTGTGGGTACAGGGAGGGTCGTGGGTGGCTGGTGCAGAGGGATTTGGGGGTGCAGTGGAGGGGGGCTGAGGGGTGCAGCCTGCTGTCCACAGAGACTGTAGCCCCCCCTGCCCCCAGCACTGGTGGGTGCCCAGGAGGCCGCTACCCCCTGCTCTCCCCAGGTCTGACCTGCGCCAGATGTTGGCAACCAAGAGTGTGGAGAACATCCAGTTCCTGCCCTTCCTCACCACCGACGCCAAGTACAGTGGGGCTGGGCCCTGGGGAGGGGGGGGTCACACAGATTTGGGGGCATCCCCTGGGCTGCAGCCCAGTGCCTGTGCCGTGTCTCTGCAGCAATGTGGGCTGGCTGGGCTATGGCTGCCTGAAGGGGGACGGGACACTCATCACCGTCAACGCCATCGGGGCGGCACTGCAGACCCTCTACATCCTGGTGTATCTCTACTACAGCCCTGCCAAGGTGGGGCAGCAGCCTGGGGGACACAGGGACAGGGGGGGACCCTCGCCCTGACATCCCCCTGTCCTCCCCCCAGCGCCCCGTGCTGCTGCAGATCCTGCTGCTCCTGGCCGTGGTGGTCACCGGCTGCGGCTACTTCGCCCTCCTGGTGGACACGGGGACGCGCCTGGGGCGCCTGGGGCTCTTCTGCAGCGTCTTCACCATCACCATGTACCTCTCACCACTGGCTGACCTGGTGTGTGGGGCTGGGAGGAGCTGGGGGGCCCAGCCCGGGCCCAGCCTGACGTTTGCTCCTGCAGGCCAAGGTTGTCCGGAGCAAGTCGACGCGGTGCTTGTCGTTCCCCTTGACCGTGACCACCTTCGTGGCCTCCAGCAGCTGGACACTCTATGGCCTGCAGATGCATGACCCCTACATCACGGTGGGTTGGGGTGGTGGGCAGCCAGGGGATGCTGTCCTGTCCTGTCCTCACACCACCCTATCCCATCCCAACCCCATCCCATCCCACTCTATCCCATCTCATCCCACCACATCCCCATTCTGACCCATCCCACTCCATTCCATCCCAGCTCACCCCCACCTCACTCTATTCCATCCCCCCACATCCCCATCGTGACCCATCCCACTCTTCCATCCCACCCCACTCCATCCCATCCCCATTCTGACCCGTCCCACTCCACACCATCCCATCTCACCCCATCCCATCCTACCTCATCCCCATTCCACCCCACTCCATTCCATCCCTATCCCACCACATCCCCATCATGACCCATCCCACCCCCCCACACCCCCCCCCCCCACCCCATCCCGCCCCCCCCCTGGCCCAGCTGAGCCGTTGGCTCGGGGCTGGCCCCATCCGGTGCCGCGTGTGTCACCCGGCTGAGCCCGTGACAAGGCTCGGCATGATGACGATTGATTTTAATTAATTAGCTGGGACGGGGCCAACAAACCTCCCCCAGCACGGCGGGGGGAGGGGTAGATCCGCTCTCCCCCCGTGTCCTCCCGCAGGTCCCCAACGTGCCGGGAGTCGTCACCAGCCTCGTGCGGTTCTGGCTGTTCCGGTGGTACCGGCCAGGGCAGGACAAGTCTTACAGCCCCCTGCCTGCCTGAGGGGCCCCCCGAGGAGCCCCCCAGCTCCAGCCTGGGCTGGCCCTGCCACCACAGCCCTGGGTGCCACCACTGTCCCCTCCCAAAGGGACACCAGGAGGCACCTCCTGCCTCGGTGCAACCCAGCCCCGCATCCTTCAGCGATGCCTTCGGGGTGCCAGGAGCACCCCCAAATCCCAGGGTGGGAAGATGGTCTTCCATGCCCACAGCTCTGCCTGGTGCTGGGCTGGGGCTGCCAGGGGCCTGGGCATCTTTTTTTTTTTAAGGATTCAAGTGCCTTTTAATAAATCAGAGACTTCCCAGTGCCTGGTCCTTGTCCCTCCCCCTCTTGGTGTCCTGCTGCGTGGGCTGGGATGGCTCATGTCCCCACAGCCACTTTGGGGGCTACTCAGGACCATCCAGGGGCTCCTCATGGCCATCCAGAGGCTCCTCATGGCCATCCAGGGGCTCCTCGTGGCCATCCAGAGGTTCCCTGTGACTATCCAGGGGCTCCTTGTGGCCATCCAGGGGCTCCTTGTGGCCATCCGGGGGTTCCCTGTGGCCATCCAGGGGCTCCTCGTGGCCATTCAGGGGCTCCTTGTGACTATCCAGGGACTCCTCATGGCGGGGGCTCATCCTGGCACCCTCTAGGCTCCTGCAAACCCTTCCAGCATTAAGGAAGCATCAGCCCTGGTGCTGGGAAGGGATCAGGCACAGGGCTGGCTTGGGGCAGGGAGGGGACACTGAGGACAGCAGTGTTGCCAGGGGGCTGCTCTGCCCCCCCTGAGCTGCCACCCAGGGCCACTGGGAGAGGGGAAATTCTGTTGTGGAGCTGCTGCCACTCTGGGAGCTGGGAGTCGATGGAAATCCCTGTTAAACCCCTACGGATCGAGCAGGCCCGGATCAGGCATCGACCCCGCGTCAATTGATCAATTAACAGCGATCTGGAATGAAGATATCGGGCCAGTGCCGCAGAGGGGGGACAGGAGGGACCAAATCACACAGCAAACACTTGTGAAAAGTGACCCTTCCCCATGTGCAGGAGACCCCCAGGACCCAGGAGCCCCATCCTGCACTCCAGTGGGATGAAGGAAGCGGTGGCAGGAGCCGGGGCTGCAGCTCAGCCCTCACACACAGCCTGGGAGAAATCCATGTGGGATGGGGCCGAGCTGAGCGCGGTGGGAGGGAGGGAGGGAGGACGAGCTCCTGGCGTGCTCCGTCTTGTCCCTCGCGCCTGCTCCGGCTGCTCCCGGCGAGGAGGAGCCCCCCACTCTCTCCAGCAGTGGAAGCAGCTCCCAGCCCGGCCCCACAGCCCCGGGAAAGGGCAGCTTTCCCCACGGACACACCCGACCGGTCGCTCCGGCTGCCTCGTGACGTGGCCACACACGCCAGGCCCGAGGCAGCGGGGCAGCTCCCGGACACTGCCGTGCAGGGAGGAGCTGCTGCTGGACAGGCTGTTGTAGCCCTTGATGGCTGTGAGTAGAGGCCCTGGATTGTCATGAGTGGCCCCTGGATGACCACGAGTAGCCCCTGGATGGACATGAGTAGCCACCGAATGGCCATGAGTAAAGGCCCTGGATTGCCACGAGTAGCCTGCAGAGGATCGTGAGTAGCCCACAGAGGGCTGGGAGTAGCCCCTGAATGACCACAGGGAGCCCCTGATGGCCACAAAGAGCCTGCAGAGGATCATGAGTAGCCCACAGAGGGCTGGGAGTAGCCCCTGGATGGACATGAGTAGACACCGAATGGCCATGAGTAAAGGCCCTGGATTGCCACGAGTAGCCTGCAGAGGATCATGAGTAGCCCACAGAGGGCTGGGAGCAGCCCCTGAATGACCATGAGGAGCCCCTGGATGACCACAAGTAGGCCCTGGTTGCCCATGAGTAGAGGCCCTGGATTGCCATGAGTAGCCCACAGAGAGCTGGGAGTAGCCCCTGAATGACCACAAGGAGACCCTCATGGCCATGAGGAGCCTGCAGAGGGTCATGAGTAGCCCACAGAGGGCTGGGAGTAGCCCCTGAATGACCACAAGCAGCTCCTGGATGGACACAAGTAGAAGCTCTGGACTGCCATGAGTAGCCTGCAGAGGGCTGTGAGGAGGCCCTGAATGACCACAAAGAGCCCTGATGGCCATGAGATGCCCCGATGGCCCTGATGAGCCCACAAAGGGCTGTCAGAAGCCCCCAGAGACCACTGTCCTCACCCTGTGGTCCCAGCTCCACCAAGCCCCCCAGGTGGCTGAACCCGGGATGTGAACCCCCCCTTAACCATCCCTGTGCTGGTGAACGCCGGGAGTTTCCCACGCTGCTCCCAGCCGCCACTGCTGCCCAGGAAACAGCTAATTAGCCACTCCTGCTAATTAACCCGGGTCCTCCCTCCCGCTCCCGACGGCTCCTCTCTGCAGAGGATGCGCAGCCGCTCGTTAAAATCCCAAAATCCTCTGGCTGGAGGAGTCAGGGAGGCAGGTCCCGGCACGTCGGGCTGGGGGTCCCCGGGCGTGGGGCACCCCCAGGCAGAACCCCCCTCCCCGTTGTGGAGCTCTGGATAGGCAGAGGAGCCGGCGGGATCGGGGAGCTCCCCGTGACGTCCCCGGGAGGGGCCACGCCGCGATTTAAAGGCTGCGCCGCCCCCTCCACCCCAGCCAGTCCCTCTCCTCTTTCCCGGGAATGCGGCCAGCGGGGTGAGGCTGGCCAGGATGAGGCTCCTCCAGCTCCCACCTGCCAGGGGCCAACCACATCTAAAGGGCAGCCAAGCCTGGCCCGGCATCCACCTCCAGGGCCAAGTTCCAGGGAGCTCTCCAGAGGAGGGAGAGGCCAGGGGTGGGCTCCTGAAAGCCCCTCAGGGCCGTGGGCAAACTGAGCCTGCATGGAGACCCCTCCAAAACCTCCCCAGACACCCACCCTGCAGTGGGGAGAGCCGAGTGATTCCCCCGGGGGTGCTTCCAGCAGCACCCAGGACCCTCAGTGCCCTCGGCCCCCATCGGAGCCCCCCGTGGCCCGGGATGACGGAGCAGTGCCGGGAGCCACCGTCCCTGGGTTTTATTGCTGTCACAGGCGCAGTCCCTGGGTTTTACTGCTGTCACAGGCGCAGCCCCCGCCGGCGCAGGTCGGCCCGGGCCGCCCTGATGTGCTCCTGCAGCTCGGCCGCCGCCTCCTCGCAGTCGTTGAAGGTGGCCAGGCGGTAGCCCACGGTGGCCAGCGAGTAGCAGCCGAAGGCCACCAGCAGGTAGACGGGCAGGGGCAGCAGGGCCTGGCGCAGTGGTGCTGGCAGCTGCAGCCCCGGCGGGGCCAGAGCCAGCGCAGCCCAGGCCGAGCCCAGCAGGGCCAGCCCGCAGAGCCACTGCCCCAGCTTGGTCATGGTGGCCTGGGGAGAGAGGGGAGGTGAGGGGCTGCTCAGAGAGCAGGGGAGAGGGGAGCTGGGAGAAGGGGAGAGATGGGGAAAGGGGAGTCAGAAGACGGGGAGGGGAAAGGGGAAGGGGCAGAGGGGAGCTTTGAGACAAGAGAGGAGAGATGGGGAAAGGGGAGTCAGGAGAAGGGGAGAGGGGAGAAGGCGGCCCGGGAGAGGGGAACTGGAAGAGGAGAGGGAAGAGGAGGTTGGGAGAATGGGGAGAAGGCGACCCAGGAGACAGGGAGGAGAGAGAGGGTGACATGAGAGGAGAGATGGGGAAAGAGGAGTCAGGAGAGGGGGAGATGGGAGAGAGGGAAATGAGGGGAGAGCTGAGAGATGGGGAAGAGGAAAGGAGCAGAGGGGAAACTGGGAGAGAGGGGGAGAGGGGAGCTGGGAGAAGGGGAGCCAGGGGAGAGCAGAGTCAGAAGAGAAGATGGGGAGAGGGGCAGAGGAGAGAGGGGAAAGAGGGAGAAGGGAGGAAAGGGGAGAAGAGGGGAGAAGGGAAGGGGAGGTTGAGAGAATGGGGAGAAGGCAACACAGGAGAAAGGGAGGAGAGAGAGGAGGACAAGAGGGGTGAGATGGGGAAAGGAGAGGGGGAGAGGGGAGCTGGGGGAGGGGAAGAGGGGGAGATGAGGGGGGAGCTGAGAGAGAGGGGAAGAGGGGAGAGGAGCAGAGGGGAACTGGGAGAGAGGGGGAGGTACTGGGGGAGAAGAGAAGGGGGGGAAAGGAGAGCCAGGAGGGAAAATGGGGAGAAGGCGACCCGGGAGACGGGGAGGAGAGAGGGGGGAGCAGGGAGAGAGGGGAGAGATGGGGAAAGGGGAGTCAGGAGAGAGGGAGATGGGAAGAGGGGAGAAGGCATCCCGGGAGAGAAGAAATGGGAGAGGGGGAGATAGTGGGAGAGAAGAGAGGAGAAGAGGAGAGAAAGGGGAGCCGGAGGGGGGAGGAAGGGAAAATGGGGAGAAGGTGACCCGGGAGACGGGGAGGAGAGAGAGAGGGGTGAGAAGGAAGAGGGGAATGGGGAGAGATGAGGAGGGGGAAGAGGGGAGAGGGGGGGGGGAGGGGGGAGAAGGCGACCCGGGAGACGGGGAAGAGAAGGGAGAGAGGGACCGACCCACGCCTCCCCCCGCCCCGACCGCACCGGGCCCGGTCTCCCCTCAACAGCCACCCGAAGCCTCCAGACCGGAGCCCGACCCCGAACCCCGCCGGGGCCCCTCTGAGCCCTCCCAAAAGTCCCGGTGCCGCCCCCACCTGACCGAGTCGCGATCCCGCTCCCGGTGCCGCTCTCCGCCCCGTCGCAGCGGTGACGTCACGGCCGCGGCGCCGCGCGCGCGGGAGCCGCCGGGAGCTGTAGTTCCAGGGCCGGGAGTTGTAGTTCTGGAGCGCCCCCTGCCGGCGGGGCGCGGAAGGGGACGATACCCCCGGGACCCCCGGCGGGACCCCCGCCCCGGCCCCGCTCCCGGTGCCGCAGGAAGCGCCGGGCTTTGTCGGCCGCGGCCGGGGCCACAGGAAGCATCTGGTTTCCTCCGCGTCCGGCCGCGGGGCCCGGCGTGGGAGCAGGTCCTGCCGGCCGTCCCACGGCTGCCGTTCCCATCCCCCCCACACCTCACTTTGAGAGCTGCCCCGGTGACCCCCGGGTGTGCTGGGGATGGACTTGTGATGCCCTGCCAAGCCTCGGCTGTGCCAGTGCAGGGGTTTGGAGCCCTGAGCCCTGGCACCCCAATGGACCCCTGCCTGCTCCAGCCCCAGCATCCACTGGGATGCTCCTTCCCTGCAGGTCCGGGCAGATTCCCCCCCTGCCCACCCCCAGAACCCACCCCAGGCTCCAGAGCTGCTCCAGTGGGGCACAGGACCCCGGGGCTGGGAGCTGGCAGAGGAGCCAAACCCGTGACAAGAAGCTACAAAGAAATGGCTTTATTGGGTGGGGGGAGTCCCGGAGTGGCCATGGGGAGGGGGCTGCCC